CTGCTGCTGCTGCTGCTGCTGCTGCTGCTGCTGCTGCTGCTGGCTGCTCTGAATCGCCAAGCAGCTCTCCACAGGCGCAGCAGATCTTCCCATCTCTTGCTTCAGCATCTTGCTGCAGCAGCTGCTGCAGCTGCTGCTTGCGTTTGCTAGCGGTTGGTCTCCTTGCTGCTGCTGCTGCTGCTGCTGCTGCACGCAGCCCTCGGCCTCCTCCTTGAATTAGCTGCAGCAAGCTGGCAACCCATATTGCTTCTTCAGCCTGAGCTGCAGCAGGGGGCTGTAGATACACCACAGCTGCTGCTGCTGCTGTTGCTGCTGCTGCTGGGTCTTCTTCTTCTTTTGCTGCTGCTGCTGCTGCTGCTGCATCTGATGTGATGGCGAGGTTGTTGTTGTGAGGCAGTTGGAGTGTATGGACGCAGGTGAGGAGCCCCTTGCTGCTGCTGCTGCTGCTGCTGCTTGCAGCAGCAGCAGCTTGCACTTGCTGCAGCAGCTTATAAGCAAAAACGATATCTAAATCTGAAGACTGAATATCCCTCCTACAAACAACCGCGCGACAAACAGCAGCAGCTGCTGCTTGATTTAAATGAGCCCCCCAAGTAAGCCAGGAGTGGTGCCGCTGCTGCTGCTGCTGCTGCTGCTGCTGCTGCTGCTGGTAGCTTGTTGCAGGAAGTAAAACAGCAGCAGAAGCTCCCAGCACCTGCAGCCATCTCTTTACTGCTGCTTTCTCAACTGAAGAAGGCAGCATACCCAGTTGTTGTTCGTGTTGCTGCAGCTCCTGCTGCTGCTCCTGCTGCTGCTGTTCGGCAGCAAAGCCGCTGCACACAAGGTCGGTAGTGAGGGGTGAAAAGAGAGAATTTGCTGCTGCTGTTGCTGCTGTTGCTGCTGTTGTTGCTGTTGCTGCAGGCCGTGCGTCTATTAGGACACAGGGAGCAGCAGCAGTAACAGCAGTTGCTGCTGCTGCTGCTGCTGCAGCGGAGCTGTCCTTGGGCTCTCCCAGCCTATGGCGAGCTGCAGCTTCTATCTCCTGCAGCAGCAAAGGCATGCTTGCTGCTGCTGTTGCTGCTGCAGCAGCAGCAGCAGCATCCTTTGAGTCGCAGGAATAGAAGCGTCTATGACTTAGTTGAGGGCTGAGGACCGACTGAGACAGCTCTGCAGCAGACATCAACCGCTGCTGCTGCTGCTGCTGCTGTGTTGCTGCTGCTGAGTCTTCGTTGTCGCTTAGCAGTGCAGCCCACATCGGCAGAGCAGCAAGGGGCAGCATCACAACATCAGCAGCAGAGGGAGCAGCAAGGCAGAGGTGAAGCAGCAGCAGACGTCTAGCAGCAGCAGCAGCAGCAACCCGTTTGCTGCTGCAGCAGTTTGCTAAACGAAGACATGCAGAAGCAAGCTCCTCTTCATTAGAGTGTATATACACCACAAACACCTCAACCCAGCTTGCTGCAGCAGCTTCAAATATATTATTTGCTTCCTTCTCTCCTTGCGGTTGCTGCTGCACAAAATGAACAGCAGCAGACATCAGCCAGAGAGACAGAGGGTCTCTGTTGTTCGTCCCTAGGGCCTGCTGCTGCTGCTGCTGCTGCTGCTGCTGCTGCAGCTGCAGCAGCTGCTCCACCACGCCGCCTGCTGCACCAGAACCATACAACAGCAGCATTTTATTTGCTGCTCGACTGTTCAGCAGCCGCAGCAGCAGCTGCTGCTGCTGCTCTGCATCTTCCGCAAGCAGAAACACAGAGTTCAACTGAGTAGCCAACGTTGGTCCTCTGCCTCTTGCTGCTGCTGCTGCTGCTGCTGCTGCTGTTGGCTGCTGCTGCTGCTGCTGCTGGCAGCTAGATAAGAAGCTCGGTGCTGCAGCAGCAGCAAGCTGAAAACCTACAGGAAAAGACAGAGGAGGAGTGCTGCAGCCTCCTGATTGTACGTCTACACGTTCTAGGGCCCCGAAAGCATCGTCAAACTGCTGCTGCTGCTGCTGCTGTTGCTGTTGTTGTTGTTGTTGCTGCTGCTG